CCACAAACATTTATTAAATGCCAACTTTATGCTAGGTCCTAGGTGCTGGGGATACAACAATAAACAGGACAGACAAGGTTCCTGCTCTCACTGAACTGTAGTCAAGTGTTGGGATATAGACGATAAACAAAAAGTAACAGCTAGTAAGGAGCACTCCATGAAGAAATAAAAAGAGGAACTAGCATGTTAGCAAGTGACTGGGTAGTCCCCTTACACCGGGTGATCAGTAAAGGCTTCTCAGAGGCAGTGTACTGAGGAGGAGACTGGAAGAGCAGGAGAATGGAAGAGCAAGCAGCCAGCCACAGGAAGTTCCTGCGGAAGAGCATTCTAGGCAGAGGTCACTGGGACTCTGCCCATCACAGCCCCATAACACTTTAGCTTCCACTCTGCACCTCCTTCACATGCTCTGTGCTTCAGTTGCATCCAACCATTCCCAGCTGCCCAAATAGGCCATGCTTTCTCTTGCTTCTATGTCTGTACATATGTTGTTTCCTTTGTCTGAAATGGCCTCTGCTTGTCCATCTGCCAAACACTTACAAGACTCAGGTCAAAGCTCCATGAAAGCAGAAGTTTTGTATCCCCAGGACCTGGGGCTGTGTCCACTGACATATTACTGGGACTCACCTTCTCAATACTTTTCCGTTTATGGCACCTCTATTAATGTCATCATGTACTGTATTTTTGAATGCCAAGTTCACCCATTTGACTGTGAGTCCTTGGAAGGAATTTCTGAATTTGCAGTGCCAAGCACAGAGCCTGGTTTATAGTAGTAGGTGCTTAATAAACATCAGACGAATGACAAAATCACTGAACGAAATTTTTAATTCTAATTATAGCTATTTTTACATCTAATCTCTTAAAGGTGGGAATTATGTCTTATTCATCTAACTACCACCCACTGAGTCTAACGCTTACACATTATATGTACTACTTAAGTGGTCATCATATTACTAAACTGAATTTGATCTGTGAAGTGCCATTCTATAAAGGGCAACACACCCAAAGAGGAATATCCCCTGTTATATTTCTACCTTAATGATGCAAGAGGTTGCTGGTATCCACATCAATGATCTCAGCTCCCCAGGTGAATATTTAAGGAAAGGAAAGGCTCCTCCTTAGACAGTGGACTGTAGGAAAAGTCAGCCAACAACTGAAAACTGGATTCAGCATTCCAGCTTTGTAACTGCACACAGGAAGTTAGAGTAAACGATTCCCACATTATTTAATTTAGAAAGATGGTAGTTAGTTTCCAATCGACTGAGCTGATTTCTGCTACGTGAGAAGTAGCTCTACTACACAGTAGCTGTTTACATCACAAACTCCCTTAACCCCACAAGGTTCTTAAATTTCACATGCTATGAATAGTTTGTTTACTCATACGTTTTTCTAGAAGTTCTCTTCAGTTGGCTATCTAGTGTATTCACCTGAGCCTACAATGCTAGAAGACAAGGTCTAATTTGCACTATATTGTCTATGAGTTAAAACACCATACAAAACTGGGTATGCTAATGAACAAGATACAAAAATGTCCCCTCCCGCAATAACTATTAGAAGGCTGACATTCAAGTTTTAAAGTGATTTAACTATGAATCATGCTTAAGTAGCTAGCTGCTTCCACTTATTCCTATCAGCAGTTTTACCTAAGTTTTAAGTGATTCTGCAAAATGATACAAAAGCTATTTGATTACTGGCTAATAAAAGTAATTAACTTATTTTTTTATAAACTGTAGTGACATGGATACACGCAGTAGTAGGTTTTCAGTAACAAACATGTTGGTTATTCTTCCATGCATCCTACAGGCTATATATACCTGCCGCACTTACACAGGTATCATTCTCAGTTGTAAGGAACTTATTATCTACACTGTAGATTATAAAGACCCTTTGCTTCTCTTTGTCCTTTTTCCTGTGAGTTTCTCAAGGTCCATTAGAGCTCTCAGAGAATTTACAGGAAAATAAAGAAATTTAAACCTAGGGCCGAGCCCGTGGCGCACTCGGGAGAGTGCGGCGCTGGGAGCGCAGCAGCACTCCTGCCACGGGTTTGGATCCTATATAGGGATGACGGGTGCGCTCACAGTGCTCACTGGCTGAGCGCAGTGCGGCAGGTCTCAAAAAGGACAAAAAAAAAAAAAAAAAGGAATTTAAACCTAAACCAATAAATTTTGCAGCAACTATGACAAAGGTTTTTAAAAAACAAGGAAAATGTGTTGAAGGGAGAATTGGGAAATAATTCAAAATAAAATTCTGTGGGGTTATTTATTTCAACTACCCATGCCATTATTTTTATGACTACTGCAGAAAAGCTGACAGTAAATTTAAATTACATTGTCTAAATAAGCCTACAGATTTAAAGGTGGCAAAAAAATTAAAACCTTTGAAAGCACACATTTTTTTAAATGTTGAAGCTATAGGTGATCACAGTTTTTTTACTCTCTCATGGCACTGTGTTAGACATAGGGCCTCTGTCTTAGTCTTGGAAGCTAAATTCTAAGGAAAAGAGAGGAGTGGCTGGCCCCACTTACAAGCCAGGTTCTATCACAGTGGCTGCTACTGACCTGGCTGCCTTGGGTCTGGTGCACATTTGTGAGGGTATAAAATATGACCAACCAAGGATACAGCACCTCTGAGCAGGGACTATGGGAATCAGAAAGTTTCCTCAGGCCCAATGTTACGACTGGTGTACCATACACAGGATGGTCAGAATCTGTTTAAATCCCAGACATAAACAAAGGGATCTGATCTAGAACCCCAAACCCCACTTGAAACATTCCAAGGGATTCCTGGGATTTTACCCACGTTAGAATTCAAATGCAGGCTGGCCAGTTAGCTCAGCTGGTTAGAGCTCAGCCTTATAACACCAAGGTCATGGGTTCAGATCCCAGAACCAGCTAGCTGCCAATAAAAGGGAATTCAACTGCAAAATGCTTCTTTAAAAAGGAGGAGGGACAGGGATGGGGCAGGTTGTTCTGTAATGTAAAGTAAAGAAGCTACAGTTATTCTGCTCCTTCTCTGGTATCACCTGAGAGAAGAGAAAATCTTTACTTTCTAGAAAGAACTTGGGATCCAACCTAGAAATTGGTATTTCCTCTTTTCAGGACTTTTTCTAATTAATTGGTCTAAAAGTGGCTTTAAAATAAGCAAGACCTAAGAAAATAATCATGTTACTTTTAATACCATTACTTGTTCAATGAGGGTAAACAAGTCTTGAACCCTTAGCTGTTACACATAAAATTGAAAGACAGATGAGATTTTTACATTTATCATGATACTGTGATAGTCATTAGTGATATCCACCACATATTTCTGGTTCTCTTTGCAGGTACATGGTAGGTCGGTACTTTTCCACCCCCTTGAAATATGAGTTATTACCCACATGACTTGCTCTGGACAATGAAACAAGCAGAAATGCCATGCATCACTTCCATACAGAAGCTTTAAGAGATAGTGCACAATTTGCTCTGTTCTCTTTCCCTCTACAACGGTGCTGGCAACATTCAAGACAGTAACTGCTCCCTCAGCTTGGGTCCCAGAGGGAGGATGAGGCAGAACAGAGTTACCAGTCAATGAGTAAGAAAGCCAACAAGTTTTGTTGTTTTAAGCCACTGGGATTTTGGGATTGTTTTTTAGTACGGCATAACCCTACCTTGATATGTACAAATATAAATGCCTAAATATTCATAATCGCTTGGCCACAGCTGCTAATATAAGGACTTGTTTTTACAGTGCTGTACCTTCCTATGATGCTAAAAAGAACAGTGTTAAAGAACACTGAGGAAAGTTTGCAGAAGCTTCTGGGAAAAACTTTTTCCTTGTCAGAAGCATGGGAAGAGGCCACCTTCTTTGTGTAGGGTGTATGCAAGGGTCTGAGCTGCTGCAGCAATCTTGTTACCAAATTCAAGGAAGAAACTAGCTCAAAAAGGTGGGAGAGCTGAGAGGATCGAGAGGGATGGAGCTGGAGCTGCTAGGTTAAGCCAACTCTGAACTTGACCCTACCCCTAGACTTACAGTTATGTGAGCCAGTAAATTTCCTATGTTTAAGCAGTTTGGGGTGGAATTCTGTTTGCTTATAGCTAAAGGCATGCCAACTGACATTGAAATGCAGAATTGGAATGTAAAGAGGTAACAGGATTCCTTTTGCTGGGTGTTCACAAGTTAAATCACCAAGATACTGTCAAATAGGCTAGTCCGCCAACCTGGTAAGGTAGAAACTGCATAAATTAGGACTCAGAGGACCTGGGTCTTAGTTTTTGCTTTGCCATTAACTACCTATGTTACTAGATCTAAATTTCCTGATCAGTAATAACAAAGAAGTTGCCCTAGATGAGCTATAATATACCTTCATCTCAAATATCCTCTAATTTGGAACCCCCAAATAATGGGTTTTTAGAATATTTTAAATACTAGATTTTTTTAATAGCCAAAAAGATTGGATATCTTTTCCAAAGATATTGGAAAAATATGTGGTTCAACTTAGCTAGGAATTAAGAATGAGTGTTTTTGAAAAGCAATGAAGCATCTCAGATTTTTACTATATTTGTTATGGTTTCATAGTCTATTAGCCTTAAGACATTTTACATCTACAACTTATCCGTAAATAGCACTGTTAAAGTCTGCCCATGCTTCTGACAAAGAAAAAATCTTTCCCAGAAGATTCTGCAAACTTTCCTCAGCCTAAAATGATAACATGCCTATTTCTGAATCAATCCCTAGCAAGGGGAATGGGACGACCATGATTGCCTTAGATAACTCAGAGTCCATTGATTGCCACACAGTGGGGAAGAGAGGCCGTGATTAGGAGACAACCATGCACCACTACAAGGGGCTGCTAATCTACAGTCCAAGGAGCCAAGGAGCCTTGCAAGGTGAGGAGTTGCCTCACTAACTCAGAATAAATTATATAATTAGTTTGTGTGTGTATGTATGTACGTGTGTGTGTGTGACACTACCATTTAAAAATATGTAGAGCTCTTCTGCTGTTGGCTGGGCTAGCTGCTGCCGAAATGGGCACACTTGTGAAACCCAGAAAAGTGGTGCTGGTCCTGGCCGGATGCTACTCCAGACGCAAAGCCATCATTGTGAAGACCATTAGTGATGGCACCTCACACCGCCCCTACAGCCATGCTCTGGTGGTTGGAATTGACCGCTGTCCTTGAAAAGTAACAGCTGCCATGGGCAAGAAAAAAAACCACCAAGAGGTCAAAGATCGGGTCTTTTGTGAAAGTTTATAACTACAATCACCTTGTGCCCACAAAGTATTCTGTGGATATCCCCTTGGACGAAACCATCACCAACAAGGACATCTTCAGAGACCCTGCTCTTAAATGCAAGGCCCGACAGGAGGCCAAGGTCAAGTCTGAAGAGAGGTACAAGACAGGCAAGAACAAATGGTTCATCCAGAACCTTTGGTTTTACATTTTTGTTGTTGTTGTTTTGGTCATTAAAAAAAAAAAAAAAAAAAAATCATGTGTCTGCCTGTGGCATGTATTATCAGACTGGAAAAAGGAAAACATTCATAGGATAAGAGACGCTGGATGGTGGATGAGGGGCTTCAGGAAAATATAAAATAGAAGTTAAAATTTTTTGTGAGGGGCCGGCCCGTGGCTCACTCGGGAGAGTGCGGTGCTGATAACACCAAGGCCCCGGGTTCGGATCCCATATAGGGATGGCCGGTTCGCTCACTGGCTGAGCGTGGTGCTGACAACACCAAGCCAAGGGTTAAGATCCCCTTACCGGTCATCTTTAAAAAAAAAAAAAAAAAAGAAAAAATTTTGTGAGACTTACACTAAAAAAACCCGTACAGATACTCTTAAAGACTAATAAAATCCAAATTCATTTGAAAGTATTATCTAATTCATGGTAATTTTTTAAACAGCATAGAGGCAATGTAGCATGGGACTACCTGAATTGGCGTTCTGGCTCTTACACCTGCTATCAGGTGTTACCTACATCACAAGTGGTTACCTACATCATAAGATTTTTGTGATGATTAAAGGAGCAGCATGTAAATGGCTGAGATCAGACATAGCTTTAGCTGTATTGAGTAAAGCACTAAATAAATTCTAGCTATTATTTGTCTTATGCAAGTAAACTACTATGATGTGAAGAGTCATGAAATTATTCAATGTTGAAAAGGGGTCTGGAGGAGATATTTCTTTTTAGCTGCCCAGTATCCATTCATTTCTCCTTCCTTATTCCCTTTTGGAGAATTTCCTGTCTCCTACCTTGCATAATCTTGGTAAGACTATAAATACATGTGTCTACCCTTCTGCTATGGAGGACAAAGTGATTTCTGGAGGTTCCTGCAAATAAATCCCTCTCTCACCACTGATATATCCAGCATGACCTAGGCTCAGCCAATCAGACGCACTTTCCAAGAGTCTTAAATCTTGGGCAAGAAACTTCAATACACAGAGTTCAATCATCTCAGTGGTAACATCCTAATCAGATAATTAATTCCTCTAATTCTGCTTCCCAGCTCCCCCAGAATTGCCTTAGTTTCTGCCTGTTTCCAAGCTTGGGTCTCTAGCATTCCACCAGTTCTGTAAGTTTCTAATTCTTTTATGTTACTTCTTGCTTAAGTTAGGCAGAGTTGGATTCTACTGCCTGCAACCAAAGAATTCGATTGAGAAGTGGACTAAGATCAGTTGCTGCTGTATAGCATGAAAGTACTATGCTGGAAGTCAAGAATGGAACTGGGAGCTGTGCTGAGAATAAGAAAAACAAGTATTGGAAAGATGTCTTAGGAAGGTCAGGGAGAAGCCAAAGACAAATGTGATGAGCAATGAGATAAGATTTATACCCGTATATATGAATGTAAAAAACTGCCGCAGAGATGCAGAGAACTGCAGCGTGAGCTAAGAGTTGCATGGGAAGGAAAAAAAAAGAGTTGCATGGGAGGGGCTGGCCAGTTAGGTCAGTTGGTTAGAACGTAGTACTGCAACCCCAAAGTCAAGGGTTCAGACCCCCATATTGGCCACTGCCCGCACCCCCCCCACACACAAAAAAATCAGATAGCTATGAGTTGCGTGGGAAGAAGAGGAACCACCTACTTTTCACTGAAACTTTCTGCCTGGTGAAATTCTAGGGCAAATGTTTTTATGAGGCCCCTTTTAAAGAGGTGTATGATAAAAAAGCACTTGACCTCAGGTTCACTGGTGATATCTACAAGAATACAAAGTGAGGAGACCTTTCACAAAGAACCAGGACTTGGTGACTTTTTCTTCTTTTTCTCTCTGGTGAAAATCCTTTTTCCCAAGTTCAATACACTTTAGCATATAGAAAGTTCAAGTTCATAATGAAACTCTACTACAGTTCAATAGTATTTAAGGGCAGAGAATATTCAGAGGTCAGAGAACAGTATGAAACAGCTGGCTTGGTTCAGGTTTAACAATTTCTTCCAGGAATTCTATTCTTACTACCCAAGTTTACATCATTAGATCCCAGCCTACTTTGACTGCCTACCTATTTCCACCCTCTTACCCAATTTGAATCAAGCTGGTTTTAGCTCTCATTTTGTGTCTCTGGGGAAAAAAAGTTTAAAAGTTCAGGGCTCAGATAAACCCCCTGCTGTCTGTAAGAGCCTCTTTGTGTTTCTTTCTTCTACATAATTTACCTTAATCTCTATATTTAATACCCAGTGTCCTAAGTTCTCCCAAAACTCCTACTTTCCCTGGTCTTTGCAGCACCTTCTCCAAAATACACATTCCCTATTTTCTTTCATTTCTCAAAATGCATCCCAATTTTAACTTTTTAAAAATGTCTACCAGCAAGTCACACCCAATTGGTGATTTCTTTCCCCTCTAGCTTAGTTATCATATTCCTTCATAACATTCTAATTCACAAAATAAATCTGAGACAACTCTCATCTGGCCCAGAAATATCTATGACTTCCAATTACAATGTCAAGAAAAAAAAAAAATCACTGATGTGGAACAATTCCTTTTCACTGTATACCTTTGGGTACAGTTGGGATATTTTACTATGTAAATGTGTTACTTTTTTTATTAAAAAAAAATAAAAACTTCCACTATTTAATAATGCAAAAACAAATTATCTTATTATCTTACTCTCCCAATAGTATTTTTACGTAGAAACATGTTGACAGCAGATAAGAAGCATCCCTAAATTCATAATCATTTTTGGTTGTTTGGAGGGTGGCAAGTAGACATGCAGCAGGATGTCGCCATAGGTTTACTAAACAAACTAATGTTCTTCCATTGCTGAAAGTTTAAGAGAAATCTGAAGACCTTTTTTCAAGTCTCTGACCCCTCAGAACGTGGTACTGCAAGTACTTTTAGGCTCCCTGATGATGGCATGCCTGGGTTAGTCACTGCCACTTCCCTCAAGTCTGGGAGTTACTAGCAAACTGAAACAAAACAGTTCAGGGCTGGCAATCAAGCATCTCTGTGGGTATGGGTAAAGCGAATCCCAGGCAGACCCTACCTCTCTTCGCTCTGAGCAAAATGGATCTGTACAATCTTTTCACATATTATGTTACTACTTTTTTGTTATATGTGAGAGTACTTTACAAGGGATATTTTCCACGCTAGTAAGATAATATATTATAATAGCTCATTTGAACTGTGAATTAGTCAAAATCTGCTAGGATAATGAGATTTATTCTTAAAATAAAACTGATCTTTAAGGCACCAGTGAACCTTTCCCAACAAGTTGATTTCAGCAGTAGATTTACCATCTACTTCTGCATTTCTAGCCCCCTTCAATCTTCTGTTGGTGGGTTGAAACTCTCTTCTGAAACTACAAAGAGCAGAGAAAAAGCAAGAAATCTTTTCTCATTCCTACCTGTTCAAGAGCTTTGGACATCAGTGACTGTCTTCTTTATAAGATCTGCTCTCTTCGCTTTCCTGACTTTGCCCTCTTCTAATTCTCCTGGTGAGGAAATCACATAGGCCTCCCAATGGTCAGGCATATGAAAATACCACTGAATGCCATACAAGCTCCTTCTGTGCTTCCTCGTCACGGGTCCCAAGTGTTCGGCACACTCCTTCTCCCCTGTAACACTGCCACCAGCCTCCCATGTCTTAAAGAGTTTCTTTCAAGGAAAGAATAAGAGGAAAAAGACTCAGTCTAAAACGTGGCCACCCTCTTATACCTCTGAAGGTAAGTACATTGACTTATTCAACATTTAATGATCACATCTCATGTGGTAGGCACTAGTGCTTGAGAGACCCGTAAGAGAAACTCCCTACCCTTTCCTAAGGAATTCAGTCTATAAGGGACAGAGATGGATAAACTAACAGTAGGAACATAATAAAGAAAAAAAGAGGTACTAAGGGTAGGACCAGAACAGCTTGCTGAAACACCAGAGTCTAATCCTCAGCTTCAGACATATCCACCACCACCATTTTAGTCCAGGCCTCCTGCAAGAGTCTCCATGCCTCCCTTTTACCCATCCTACCCTCTCGTCCAAATCCATTTTCATATTCCAGCAGGGGTGATCTGCTTAAAATCTGAAGCAGAGCTCTCTCCTACTCAAACCTTTCAATAGCACTGAAGATAAGGTCCTGCATCAGCTGTCCTATGCCAAATTTTCTCCCTTCATTTCACCCCCTTTCCTTTGCACCAATGGCTCCTCAGCAATACTGATCTTCCAGTTCTTTAAACAGAACAAGTGCTCTTGTGCTACATGGACTCTACATATACCGTTCTCTCTCTCTCTCTCTTTTTTTTTTTTGCAGGGAATCCTCCCCTGCCCAACACACACACTTTGTATTATGAAATCCTTTTGACTTTTGGGTCTCAGCTAAAATATCATTTCTCCATTATTTACTTGATTGTCTCTATTTCTGTCTGCTTCATCAGACTGTATGATCAACAAAGACAGGAACCAGGTCTATTTTACTCATTTTGTATTTGCGGTACCTGGCATGCAGCAGATACTCAATGAATATTTGCTCAATGACGATGTAAAATACACTTACCTTTTCTAGGGCCCTAATAGTAAGTATCCCCCAGATTTTATTCCTAGCCCTCTCCACCACTCCCCATTTTCATCATCTCAATACCGATGACACTAAATCCAGTCCTTTCACTATGATGCCTACAGGACAGTTCTACGTGGAGTACCTCTGGCACCTGCAACTGGACAAGTCCCAAGACATACTCATTAACTATCCTCAAACTCTCCTGATTTTCTCTATTGCTATTAATGGCAGCATCCTCTTAAAGGGTGAGTGACTGACTTCTCTTTCTTTTACCCACTGACAAGAACATCCAATTTCATCTATAAAATGGACCTGTATGTTCTTGTATACACAGTAACCTGGACTAGTGCATTAGCTTCACTTCCTATCTCTGGTCTTTTGAAATAACAATTGCTCACCTACACAAACATTAAAGCTTAATTCTGGTCATGTCAATAATACCCTCATCAAAATTCTTCAACAGCTCCCTCTTGCCTTCCAAATAAGATCCACACACTTCTGCTTGGTATTTGAAGCCCCTTTTAATCTTGTCCAAACTATCCTAGCAAGGTAGTCTAGTTTCTTGGTCAAGATCATAATCTCTGGAGCCAGACTATGATGTCAAATGCACAGACATGGGGACAGGTGCTGATCCCAGTTACACCACTTAACCTCTCCACGCCATATGATTTTGTTATAAAGATCAAATGAATTAATAGAAGTAAGCACTTACAGTAGTGTTTGGCATGTGGCCAGGGCTATCTACACTGTGTTTTATTTGTGTTTTGCAGCACCATCTCTAATATCCATAGCCTATATTCCAGTCTGTCTGAACCAATTTACTGTTCCCCTAATACTGCTCAAATTTTCCCTTCTGAGGCAAGGATCCACCACAGAGTAAGGGCCAGCTGATAAGTTGCCAGTGTTGTTTCCCCTCCTCTAACTCAAAAGCATTTCCAGACAAAAGTCCATTCTCTCCAGGAATGTCTATATGTCTCATACCCTGAAATGACCCAAACGTTGCTCATCAAAGGATTTCCAGCCCTGTTCATAAATTCTCAGTCTGCAGTTAACCACACTCTTCTTCCCTCTATTTTCTTATTCTCCTCCCAAGTGTCAGATCAGAGACCATCTTACTATCATTTTCCATCCCCAGTGGCAAAGCTCCTTTAGTTTTCCTATATCCCTAATCTAGGTAAAAGTTTAAGTTCTCATGGCTATTCTCCCTACAACGCTGTTACTTCAGATAGTTTTCCCTTTGCATGGAAACACTTAAAGTAGTTAAAACTAATCCTGTAGTCCTAATATGAACAGAATATGGACCTCGATTTCCAAACAGTCAGGCTTCACCACTATAACAGTGCTGCTTTCCTACTTTGCCATCCACAGAGACTTGTAAAGATTAGTAAAGTGTTTATGGATAACTTGCTAATTCCTAGTAATGAAAAAATGAGACTTTCAACATTCCCAGAAATCTTCACCCACTCTTTAACCTGAAGGTAATCAATAAATTACAAAACATTACGTGTCATTTCCAAAGAAAAAGCCAATAAGTATTATGTGGCTCTACCAATGCAATGAAAATTCTACTTCTTTATAAAAATAGGAAGTTAAAAAAATTTTTTTAATTAAAAAAAATATTTTTAACAAAAAATTTAATGGGAAAGAAGTCATAACTGCCAAAGACACAAAAACCCACCACATCTAAACCTAAGGAACTGTCACTTCAAATCACTTCATGGCTCCATAGAAAAGTTTTATATAGTGTCTCATAAAGTTTGTCCCATAGCTGATACTATCAACCAAAAAATAACATACCAAAAGCCAATACTTAAACATCTTTACAGAACCATAACCAATCATACGTTCTCTAACATAAGTCATAAATTATAATGACTTTAAAGGATTCTTACAAAAATTTATTCTATAATTTATAAGACTTTATAAGAATTCTGAAAATTAAAAATGAATCACCTGAAACCAGAGATGCACTCAACTCTCATTACTGCTTCTTTATTTGCCCTAAAAACAGTCCTAAACATCCCTTCTCTTTAAGATCTAAAAATGGTCTCAAACTGAGGATGTCCCTACAAGAAAACAATGAAAACAGCAGAAGAAAAGTTAAACTGAACAGCTAATCACTAATTTATAATTTTAAAAAGAATCAAGTAGTAACTCTCTAGGCAGTGCTAGTCAAAGTATAGTCCCTAGGCAGCAAACTGGCACCTAGTCCATGAGAAGGTAAGTAGAGAGGTTGAGAGTAAACATTTAGAAAATCTGATAGAAACTTGACAAAGTAATTTTGCAATTATTGAATCTAATAATTTTTAAAACAGAAGTTATATGTTGTAGTTTTAATTTCATTTTTCTTACAATTCATATTATGTGTATTAGGAAAACATCAGCCAGCAAAAAGTGGAAACATCCTGGTCCTCCAGGGATATTCACTTGTGGGAAGATAAAGTAGATGTACTTTTTCCTATTCCTCCCACTAAGTACAACTAAAAACTCTGAATATTATATGTAAAACAAACATGAGAGACTTTTTTGTGTGGAGATAAGATGATGACTGGCTAGGGACCCCAAGCCCAAAAGAACAACACAATGAATACCATGGTGAGTTCCCTGGGATTTATTTTTGCCTTATATCCCAGATATTGAGGTGAAAAAGCTGGCAACCTGGAAATACTAACGAGCACAAAAAAAAAAAAAAAAAAAAAAAGAAGAAAAGCTCCAACGAAAGCCTGCTTTCTCAAAACACCAGCAAAGGGACATCCTCGCACGAAAGAAAACTTCAGAAAAAACTACTCTAGTCTAAACAAGCACCACAGAAAAAACTGTGGCCCCAACCCTACCCATGTCAACAAAGGTCTGGTGGGTAGCCTAGACTTCACATACTCATCAGGCTGTAACAAGTTGCCCCAAACCCCTCACACAAGGGTGGTATTGAGAAGGCCAACTAGGGAGCCCAGGATTTCATCCATATCAGCTGGTAACAAGACACCCTTCCACACCCTCTCCCCTGGTAATCCTGGACCTCTACTCTCACCTGGCAATGACAAGATATTCTATCTCTTGGGTCAAGGGAAGCCAAGTGAGGAGCTTATACTTTTAAGTCCTCCCAGGGATAACTAGGTAGCGCCACATGCCTCCCCTCCTCCCCTGCTGAAATGGTATCAAAACAAAGCCAGCAAAAACAGAAGGCTTAAATAAGATTCAGAATTTCATAGCATAGTATGAAAATGTTCAGGTTTTAATTTAAAAAAAATCACTCATCATATCAAGAGCCAGGGGAACTCAAACTGAATGAAAAAAGACAGCAGACATCAACACAAAGATGACAGAGATTTTAGAATTATCTGGCAACAATTTTAAAACAGCTGTGACAGAAATGCTTCAAACACTTGCAAGCATGCTTGAAACAAATTAAAAATAAACAAATTAAAAGCCTCAACAAAGAAACTGAAGATATAAAGAACAAAATAGAAATTTTAGAGCTGAAAAATACCAAAATAAAAAGCTTAGTGGATGGATTCAACAGCAAAATGGAAGGGATAAAGGAAAAGAACTAGAAGACAGAGCAATAGAAATTACTCAATCTGAACAACATAGAAAAATAGACTAAAGAAAAATGAACACAGTAAGCAAAACTATGGATAAATACAATAGGCTCTGGGCAGATATAGTAGACTTTCCCTCTCCTTGAGTTTTCTAATTTATGTTTGACTACAGAAGCAAAATCCATAACACTGTCTGATGTGGTTCTAAATGTAAATAGAGGAAATATTTACAATTATATTATAAATAGGGGAGCATAAAGGAATGTAAAGGGAAGTAAGGTTTCCGTACTTCACTTGAATAGGTAAAATAACAATACCAGTTGATAATGATAAGTTATGAACAAATAATAGCTAGAGCAACCAGTAAAAAGAAAAAAAACTATGCAAAGAAATGGAGTCAAGAACAGTACAGATAAATCAAAACGGAATTCTAAAAAATGTTCAAATAAACCACAGGAAGTCAGGGAAAGAAAAAACAGAAAACAAACAGGAAATAAAAAATAAAATGGCAGCCCCGACATATCAACAATTACATTAAATGTAAATAGTCTAAAAACAGAATGGATTATAAAACATGACCCAACTATATGCTATCTACAAGAAACTTACTTCAAATATAACAACATAGGCAGGTTGAAAGTAAAAGAATGGAAAAAGGTTTATCATACCATCAAAAGAAAGCAGCCATCGCTATGTTATCAGAGAAAGTATAATTCAGAGCAAAGAAAATTACTAGAAACAAAGAAGGACGTTATATAATGATGGAAGGGTCAATCCACCAAGACACAGCAACCATAAATGTGTATGCACCAAACACAGAGCTAGAAAATATGTAAAGCAAAAACTGATATAACTCAGAGAGGAACAAATCCACAATTATAGATGGACACTTCAATACCCCTCTCTCAACAGCTGATATAATACCTAGAAAGAAAATAAGCAAAGACATAGAACTCAACAGCACTATCAACCAACAGGATCTAATTGACACAGAACACTACACTCGGGGCCGGCCCGGGTGGCGCACTGGATAGTGCGCCGCTTGGGAAGTGCGGCGGCGCTCCCATCCGAGGGTTTGGATCCCACATGCAGACCGGCTCCCGCTCACTGGCTGAGCGAGGCACGGGAGCAACGCCGAGGCTTGCGATCCCGTTGCCGGTCCCCGGTCCGGTACGGGGGCAACACTGAGGGTTGCGATCCGTTGCCGGACACGGAAAAAGACAAAAAGACCAAAAAAAAAAAAAAATGATATATGTTGCAATACAAATTATTAAGTCAGTCTTATAATTTCTAAATACTTGTTGATTTGTGGAAATTGTTGTTTTAATCTTTTGAATAGAACTGTCACTAGGTAAATGATCCCATGAGTCAGCCACGATTTTGCATAGGTAATTGCATCAAATTCATCCATTTCCCTCTTAAATTGATAGTTATTAGGTGACTTATAATCTCAGTAAGTGGAGAATTTCTCTTAACATCAATGATATTGTTCATTCTCCATTAGCTTCTGCTGACATTTTTATATATTCAGTATCTTACGAAGTTATACGGGTTGCGATCCGTTGCTGGACACGGAAAAAAGACAAAAAAAAAAAAGAACACTACACTCAACAGCAGCAGAAAACATTTTATTCAAGGACCCACAGAACATATACCAAGACAGAACATATTCTGGGCCATAAAACAAACCTGAATAAATTTAAAAG